AAAGAAAGTTCTTCCCTGCCCCCCCACTATAAGTGAACATAGTTACATACATTTTTCCTGGAGGCAGCACAGTGCAGTGGTCCTCTGTAGAAGCAGAGGTTCTGGTGCCGGACTCCTTAGTTTCACATCCCAGTTCTGGCACATATCAGTAGCATGACCCTTAATCTCTCTGTGCCTTAGTTTTCTCATCAGTAAAATGGGGTTGTGGTGAGGATTAAGTTAATGAGTACAGGTAAAGCATTTAGAATAGTGCCGAGCATATGGTAAATAATGTGTGTGCTATTATCTAGTTCCTTTACAGCGTTTTTTTCACATTTAGATCTTTGGTATACCTTTTTTTGCATGATGATTTGAGTCTATTTTTTTCTCAGATGGATAGCCAGTTTTGTTAAATAGTCGATTTTCCCACTGATTTGAAATGCTACCTTTAGAATATGCTAAGGAACAGGCCATCCCTAGAAGTGCCCTAAGAGGTCTCAACCAGTACATAGCCACCTGTGATAACTACACTTGAAAGCAGGCTATTCAGTTCGTACTTTGTGGACTCCTTGGGGACCAGTTAAAGACAGAAATTCTGAAGTTGAATTTAATAATGTTCAGAAACTAGGCCTCTCCCCTCTGAGCCCCACCCAAACAGGCATTTGGAAGGCCAGGAAGGCCACCCCAGTTGCTCTGCTTAAAGAACAAGGCTGCTGAGGACTGTGTTCTTGAAAAAGCATACCCAATCTAAAAATATATATACCACAAACTATTTGCTCCAAAATAATAATGATGAGGAAGAGAACTCAGTCATTCTGAACTTTATAGTAGAATATACGGTATATGCATAAAGATGGGATATATTTAGCTGTGAAGGATGGCTGGAGCTAGTGCAGAGTTTCACAAGTGTAACAGGCTTATCTACATTAGATGACTATTGGGTAGGGGAGGCTGAGAACCAGAGATTCAACCTTAGCTTTTTCTTTAAGACTTAATCACAAACACATCAACTGTTTAAGGTGTGCTGCCATCTCCTGGCCAAACTTGTGTTGCAGTCAGATCACAAGCAGTTACCGCAAAAAGTGAAGGAGCTATGAGTATGATGTGGTAATCCAGAACAAAACAAACATGCACACCCTCTGGGAGAAGGCATGCCACCTGCTGACTGACAGTCCCTGGTGGCTACAGATAGTGCTGCTCTGCTGGTAGAGGCCTGTGATGGTGTCCAGCAGGCACTGCCGAGCAAGCAAATCTGAAGAGCAGGCTGAGCCTAAAAAGAAAATTCAAATATTCCAAATGCAGATATAGGCCCATATATGGATTCCATGCCCAGATTCTCTCACAGTGTAATGAAGAGTAGATAGGCTTGTGCAGAAGTTCAGAATGTTGCAAGTTAGTGCTGAAAAGAGGCTGGTGGAAAGGGTATGAACCCAGGAGAGGCTCTGAAAAATAAATTGCTATCACTCCACTTTGCCCCCTTCTTCTTCACTCTCCTGCCCCCCATTCCCGGGCCTTACCCTCTGGTAGTGGTCATGTCAAGTGCCCAGAATCCATGGGGGAGAGTAACATGTTCCGTCAGTCTCCAAGGCAAACTGAAAGACCTCTAGGATCCCAGTGGAAATGGAATGGAATAGAGAGCATTCTGTAGACACAGTGAGGTTAAGGGAAAACAAAAGCCAAACAGATATAAACCTAAAACGTTAATGTGATCTTTATTATACAGCACATCTGGTGTTTGTGCACCCCAGAAGTATACACAATACTCTATAAAACCAAACCCAGCCATTCAAAATTACACTAAATGAAGACTTAACCCATAGTTGCATTTCTTAAAAATATCCACAATTAACACTGTCCCGCTGTAACAATATCATGGAAAGAGACAGGTAGCACAAGGAGGGAGAGAGTGTAAGAACTGAAGTTTGTGCCAAAGTAATTTTCTCTTGTTATTGCACTTTTATTCTACACACTTAGTATATTACACTTTTATTTAACACTGTAATAATAAACATTAGTCCTTTGAAACAAACAAAAACATTACATAAAGACAAAAGACGACAAGCTGTCCAGACCAATTTCCTTTCCAACCCTCTGAGCAAGGTGTCCCCCCATTGTCAGGTGTTCACACACAGTCTCTTCAGTCAGCTCTGTGGACTGGATGTTAACAAAGCAGATAAAGTTAAAAATAAAACGCTTTTCAGAACAGTAGTGTACTTAAAACCCCCAAGGGAGTTTGCCATACAGGTTTCTCAAGTTGACTCCCTCCTAACCCACTTAAACATCACACTAGCCCTAACCCACCCCACCCCCATATTTAGAAGGATAAACCCTCTTTTTTTTCCTTTTAAAGAAAAAGTGGGTTATTTGATCCAGCACATCCCAAAATCAAGCTTTGAAAACTCAAAGAAAGCAACTAACTCTTTCGGCAACGGACTCTTCGAGGGCCATTTATTCCACTCTGATGCAGTATGTACTTAGAAGGTTCCCTGATTAGTCAGTTGGAATACCACGCATGCCTTCTCTCCAAAGCAAGGCCAGAGGGAGTCTGTTCCCCAAAGTGCTGTTATAATCACCAATCCCTTTTGGCTTCTCAGTGCTAAATAATAAGCCAAAAAATAAAGTGTCATTCAGTGCAGTTATCACTTTGCAGCCCTGCTACCCCAAACCACTTTGCTGATCAGGAAAAAACTTTGTCAACACCTCTTTGGCAGCTCAAGTGAAAATGCAAAAAAATGCATTGGAGAGCTGACAGGTACTACTTGAGAGTTCTACCAGTCCCCTGTTTCTATCTGTGGTAGTAATATATCCCTCCCTTCACTCTTTCGCGGGCTTGCGTCGGCTGTTTGAAATCATTACCTACCTACTTCCAGAGGCTGGGAAACGCGGCAAAAAGAAATCCTTGCGACGCTTGCTCAGGCGTCCTCAAGCAAGCATGAGGGACTCCGCACGCATGCGCGGAACAGTACGTTGCTTTTCCCACTTGATAGGTGCTGCGTTTGCACAGCCTGATCCTGCGGAACATTCTAGACCCTCCCATTGCCTCTGATAGGAACCTGCTTGCCATTCAGGCCCAGTTCAGTGACTGTCTCAAAAGATGCCCTGAAGCATACCCTGGGAAGGTTCTCGCCTTTCTCCAGCGAGCTGCCTGCTCTTCTCCCATGGGGCCCGTGTGGACCTGGGTTAGGCTGGGTTTGTGGATTCGGTGATGTTGGACCAGCACGCACAGAGAACTCACCTCGTGTGGAGCTGCCTTTTGCTGTATAAGCATGAGTGTTGAGTGATTTCCAGAGCAAAGTACAAAAGTTCGTTAACTATTCTCCAGGATCTTACTGGGGTAAAAAGCTTTCTCTAGGACAGCTGTTCTCAAAATGTGGACTGAGGGCAGCAACCGCATGGGAACATGTGGGAAGTGCAAATTATCACACCACACGTTAGACCTACTGAATCACAATCTCCGGAGCTGGGGTCCAGTAATCTGTTTTAACAAACCCTCCAGGTGATTCTGATGCAGGCTAACGTTTGAGAAGCACTGTTCTAGAAGATATACACAGAGGACTGGTTTCTGTAAGGGAAACAACACACCTGTTGTCAGACAAGGACACTGCCTAGGCTCTGCCCCCTTGAAACTGATGGAGTCACAAATGACTTCTTTGGTCTGGGAAGAACCAGCACAGTCCTCCTTCCCAGAGAAGTGAAAGGCTTTTGCTCAATCAATGAGCCACTCTCTGCAGAGGATCCAGGGAACTAGGGCGTGCCTGTGGAAACGTCACCCCCGACGTGCATTCCGCAACGCCCCCAGACTGACCTTGCCGCTGGCTCCCTAGGCACTAAGGCAGCTACTCTGGAGCCCCAGGCTCCACCGCGTCTTCTGATTGCTCTGCAGGAAGGTCCGTCACTCAGTTCTGAAGCAACAGAAGCGACCAGACCTCAAGCACATTAAAAATGGCCAGGTAATCATTTTCAGGCTGCGCTAAATTGCCCTAATTAAGTTGGTAAGAAGGATGGAACACAGTAAGGGTAACTCTTTCATTCCATCCTTCTTCCTCCCCCTGCCACAATCTCACCTCACCACGTGGGAGCACAGACAACCAAAGCTAGGAGGTAAAATCTTCAGGACTTGGGCCTTGTTGAACCCTCTACAGCCCAAGTGCTGCCAGGCCTCTCTGAATATCTAGTGTCTTCCCAAGTAATATACAATACAGTACATTTCATGGCATTGCATCACTTAAATAATGGATGCCAAGCAACAAAAGAACCCCAAATTAGCAGACACTGTTATTCAACAAAAGCAAAGTATACACACGTGTTATACATATGTATTCCTGTACTCAGCCTGCTGAGTGTTTAAATAACACTTCCAAATATCTACATGTGGACTCTGGCTGGCCTGCACCATTTCTCAGAATACTTTTTTAAAAATGAACTGCAACCACTCATCTCCTTACTAAGCATTAGCCCCTCCCTTGCTTCTCCCTACTCAGGCAAAATATGTGGGCAATCTGCTAGAAAACTGGTATCTGAGAGCAGACTAAGCCACAGGGGATAAACTGAAAAGGGACTCTGGGTGGAGAAAAACCTAACCGCCCATGTGTAAACGGAGCTATGAACTAAGACTTCCAAAGAATGTTAGGAATGTGGGCTCCACTATGGGAGCACAGAGTCCTGATTATGGCTGGAGTTAAAAGACAGTCTGGAAAAGGGAACTAGGTAAGACTTTTCTTGAAATTTCATACAGAAGAGATTTATACTGACTTTTTGGCTAAAGAAACTGCTTGGGCATCAGTGAACTGCTGGATACGCTCACAGCCATCCAACTCTTCCCTATCCAGGAGTCATCTCTGCCTGGGAAGGTCTTAAGTTGCCCAGCAAGCATCAGTCCCCTTGGGAGCTCTCTGTAATGAATGTCAAATTCTTCCCATAGCCAAAAGGTGAGGGGAAGGAAAGAAATAAAGAGCGAAAGAGAAAAGTCTCTGCTTTCAAGTAGAATCATCGAGTCCTCTGTTTGGCCTCTCAGAATGTGACTTGCATAGCCGGTCCATGATGCCCTGGAGCATGGGCTGGACAATGCCCAAGAGAGGTCTCTGAGAGGGGTCACCATCCCAGCAGGCTTCCATCAACTGCCAGCACTCCTCATCAAACACAGGAAGGCGTTCTGGACGGGCCCCTAGAGAAAGGAGCATGGAAATAAGACCAGAGGCAGCGAGAAGGGAACCAACACAATGAAGAGGCATGATCAGCTCACAGGCTTGATTACCCAGTTGGGGCTCAGGATGCTAAACAACGCAGTGAGCTTTGGCTTCAACTGCAAATATCTAGGTTAGAACCTAATAGTAACTGTGATGAAAAACTGGAATACACTGGCATAGGATGTTGAAGAATTAGAAATTTTAAAGATAAAAACCTGTCTGAGAGTTCAGAACCACGCTGCCTGGAAGCAAAGGTTTGACTTAAATGTCTTTTCTGGATTCCATGATGGTTTACATGTGTATGAGGTCCTGCTGTGGAGTGGCCAGAGAGGAGGACAGGAGGCCGCTGCAGCAGTGCCTGGTCTCAGTCTGCTCTCTTCTGGGGAGTCAGGGCAAAGCAAGGCTCGTGGTTCTTACCTCTCCGCACATTGTTCCAGAGATGGTCTTTGCTGGCACACCTCTCAAATGCCTCAGGGAGCTTGACAGAGCCTGAGCAGATATACCAGAAAAGAATGCCAAAAGCGTAGACATCCACAGAATTATCATACTTCCCTACAGCAAGAAAGGGTGACAAGTAGTGAGCCAGGGAGGGAATCAACAGCATCACCACTCACTTGCATCTGCAGAGGTCTTTACACACTTTTTCCTAAAGCCTTTAATGCCCATTATCTCTTATAACAACCCTGTTAGGCAGGACACATTTATAATGCCCACTTTATAATACGAAAAACAATGGCACTGGGAGGGCTAAAGATTAAAAGAGCCAAGACTAGAACTTGACAAAGGGGAAGGAAAACAGGCCTTTTATTTTATTTTAATTTATTTATTTTATATTTCACTGATATTCATTATATTTTGTATTTGATTATTGTTTGTGTGAAGTACTTTTTTTATTTTTAAAATAAATAAATTTATTTATTCTTTCATTCATTCATTTTTGGCTGTGTTGGGTCTTGGTTGCTGCGCACGGGTCCTCTCCAGTTGCAGCAAGCAGGAGCCACTCTTCGCTGCGGTACACGGGCTTCTCATTGCGGTGGTTCCTCCTGTCACGGAGCACCGGCTCCAGGCATGCGGGCTTCAGTAGTTGCAGCACTCGGGCTCAGTTGTTGTGGCTCACAGGCTCTAGAGCACAGGCTCAGTAGTTGTGGCGCACGGGCTTAGTTGCTCTGCGGCATGTGGGATCTTCCCGGACCAGGGCTCGAACCCGTGTCCCCTGCATTGGCAAGCGGATTCTTAACCACTGTGCCACCAGGGAAGTCCGGGCCTTCATTTTAATGGGACAATCAAAAAGATTAATCCTGAAAGGTCATGTTAGGGAAATAAAGTTGGGAAATACAGGTGGGTAGATAGGTTGGAACCATAACATAAAGATTTTTAAAGTCGGACAGAAGAATCTGGATTTGATGGGCAGCAGGAGTCATTTATCCTTTAGAGCAGGAGGTGACATGAAGAAAATATTTTAGAAAGATTATTTTTACAGCAGTAGGATGAACTGCAGTAGAAATAATCAAATGAATTTAAATATGAAGTAGCCAAGATAAAGTAATAAAAGTGGGAATAGAAAATTTTTTAAAAGTCAGGGAAAGAAAGATGATGACTGTCTATTTCTTTTCAATGTGCGTAGGACTACAGCTATCCAACTAACTCCTAATCCTTATATGTATCACTCAATGAAGGGTTGGGGGAAGACTTGTGGCTCATGAGAGAAATCCAAATATTATAAATTGCTAATTTTAAGTCTTACCAATACTAACAAGTGACCTGCCATTCCCTTTCCACCTTCCCTGGCAATGACGCAACCTTCCTCATCCATTCAGGCTCAAAACCACAGAGTCATCTTTTAGTCATTCTTTGCTGTTCATCACCCATATCAAGCTAATTACAAAATCTTGCCCATCCTTCCTCTGAATTGATGTCAAATCTGTAACATTTTTTGTTTCAGCACTACTACCAACTTAATCCTAGGTCTGGTCTCCACCACTGGTCTCCCTACGTGGCTCTTACCACTCAATCTGCCTTACCTACTGCTACTAAACATTTCCATGAACATCTCTTTTCATCCCTCACCTGTTCAGAAGCCCAATAGCTCCTTGCTTCTTTCACATCAAGCCTTCACTCCACTGCATAAATTTCAAGCTCAAATATATCTTATCTCCAACTTGTTTGCTATTACTTCCTGAACTGATTTCTTTCCTGTCATGCTTATTTCTCATTGGCAATTTTGCTCCTATTTCCTCTCCCCCAGCCTCCAGAACTGTCTCTCCAACCTAACATGGTTGGACTCTAGAGACAGAAAGACCTAAATTCCAATCCCAGCCTCATTACTTCTAGCTCAGTGTTTTGGGGTGGGTTTCTTCATCAATCTGGCCTCAACCTTATCCATGACATGGACATAAAAATGCATCACTATCACCACAGAATTGTCATGAGGATTAAATGGAACAAAATATATGACATAACATACCCACAGTGCCTAGCTCAAAGAATATATTAATAAATATACTGAGTTCCCTTCCCACCTACCAAATTTTCCAGATCTCATTCAGTTTCTATCCAGAATTTCACCTCTACCACAAAACCATCTAACATTTCTTCTCTGAACACCATTATGTAGCACTTAATCACATGTTGTCTTATACTGCTTCTTAATTATTTTACCTCTCAATATATCTCTGTCAACTGTAAGTTCTTTAATGATAGAGGACAACTCTTATTATATAGGAGTTATTCAATCAATACTTTAGGATTAAATAATTGGTTGACTATGGCAATGATGGCACTAATAGCCCAGAGAGACATCCAAAAGAACAGTTGGTGACCCCCATTTACACTTTTCTTTCTTGCCCCCTTACCTCTTCACTTGTCCCCCTACTTGTCTTTGGTTTCCTCTGTTCTGGTTTCTCCCCTGCCTGTGCCAGAACTGCCAGTAGTACTTGTGGATACTACTTAGCCAAAGGGTAGCACTTGGTTAAAACACGGAGTCCTGCCCAAACCCACTCCCTGCCCTCCAGCTTACCTGTGAAAAGTTCAGGGGCCATATGAATTGGTGTCCCCACAATGCTGCCTGACATCATGGCCTCTGGCTTGCAGAATCCTAAGTCAGTGATCTTGGCACGGTTCTGCTTGTCCAACTGCCAACAAAGCAAGGTGAGAGTCATCCTATGCCTGGTCCTGCACATAGCGCTCAGCTGCATACCCAAGCTCAAAAGTAGGCATCTACCTCACAGCAGTACTTAATCAACTCTGCCTCTATTCTCCCTGTCTCTAGATTCACTCCCATTACTGTCTTCTCCCCATACTGTAAACAACCTGATGGCAAGGACTGCCTTTTTCATCTTTGTATCCCCAGCACTTAGCATAGTGCCTAGCACATATCAGGAGCTTAGCAAATCTTGGAAGAATGAATAAGTGAAGGGCACTGAGGAAAGTATTATTAGTTCCTGATTATTCTCCTCTGACCTCCAGAACCCAGGGCAGGAAGTTGCTAAATAAGAAGGTTGAGGTCCTCTGGTCAGCTGAGGAGGGCTTTTTAATTCCCTCTAGTTTCCTTTCCTGAGGTCCAAGACAATAAATCTGTCCCAGGTGAATGGATAAAGAAGATGTATATATATACAATGGAATACTACTCAGCCATAAAAAAGAACAAAATAGTACAATAACATGGATGGAACTAGAGATTATCAAAAGAAGTGAAGTGAGTCAGACAGAAAAAGACAAATATCATGTGGTATCACTTCTATGTGGAATCTAAAATATGATACAAATGAACTTATTTACAAAACAGAAGCAGACTCACAGATATAGAAAACAAACTTATGGTTACCAAAGGGGAAAGGGGGTAGGGGAGGGATAAATTAGGAGTTTGGGATTAGCATATACCAACTTCTATATATAAAACAGATAAACAAGATCCTATTGTATAGCACAGGGAACTACATTCAATATCTTGTAATAACATAAACTGGAAAAGAATATGAAAAGGAATATATATGTAGAACTGAATCATTTTGCTGTACACCAGAAACTAACATATTATAAGTCAACTATACTTCAATAAAAATAAAAATTAAAAAAAACAATCTGTCTCATTTGGCTATTGACAAGCCTCTTAGGTTTCAGCCTAGAATTTTAGGAAGATATTTCCCTCCCCCCAAAACTGCCATCATCTTTATATATTATTTTTTAAAATAAATTTATTTATTTATTTATTTTTATTTTTTGGCTGTGTTGGGTCTTCATTGCTGCATGCGGGCTTTCTCTAGTTGCAGCGAGCGGGGGCTACTCTTCGTTGTGGTGCGTGGGCTTCTCATTGTGGTGGTTTCTGTTGTTCGGAGCACGGGCTCTAGGCGCGTGGACTTCAGTAGTTGTGCCACGTGGGCTCAGTTGTGGCTCGCAGGCTTAGTTGCTCCACGGCATGTGGGATCTTCCCAGACCAGGGCTCGAACCTGTGTCCCCTGCATTGGCAGGCGGATTCTCAACCACTGCGCCACCAGGGAAGCCCTCTTTATATATCATTTAAGTGTTGCCAGAGACACTTCAGTGATAATCCAATATATTTTCAAAAGGAGTATGTCAAAAGATTCTTTATAATTTAGATAACGGGACTGGTAGGTTCATGACTATCTTACCTTTTAAGCTGTGTTTACCCATCTCACTCCTCATCCAGCATCTCAAACCCTAAGCAATAACAAGACCTGGAATCCTCAAAAATATCAATGTCACAAAAGCAAAAAAAGGCAGGACTATTCTAGATTAAGAGGCTAAAGAAACATGACAAAATGCACTGTATGATCCTTGGATTGGATCCTGGGCCAAACAAACAAATAGACCATATTTGGGATAGTTGAACATATTTGGGACAACTGGAAAATGTTAATATAGACTGTGTATTAACTAATAATATTGTATCAATTTAAACTTCTTGGGTGTGAATAATGGCATTTTAATTAAGTGGAAGAATGTCCTTTTCCTTAGAAGATACAAGCTGAAGTATATAGGAGTAAAGTTTTATCTGTAAGTTACTCTCATATAGTTCAGTAAAAAATGTGTGTGTGTGTGTGTGTGTGTGTGTATGTGTGTGTGTGAAGAAACAGAGAGACAGAAACAAAGAGAGACTACACTAGGAAAGAGAATATGAATCTGGGGGAACAGTATGTGGGTCTTCATTGTACCACTCTTTTAGCTTTTCTGTAAGTTTAAATTTTCTCAACAGTGTTGGGAGAAAAAATCTTAAGCAATATAAGCTAGGCCTATGATGCAACTCCTCCCTAAGCTTCAAGTCCAAGATACCAACCATCCACTCTGCTGTTAACTGGTCACAGTCTTTTCCTGTGACCGAATTTACATTTATGTGTACCTCCCTCCAAAGGTCACTTACACATAGAGACAGGGAGCTATCTTGGGGAAACAGCTCTTACTTACCAGCACATTTTTCAGTTTGATATCACGGTGGACAAGTCCCTGGCTGTGCAGGAAGCGGATTCCTTCCACCACATCTAGTGCTATCTGCAAACGGGTCTCCAGGGTCAGCCCAGCCTTGGGGAGACAAAAGAGCTTACTTGTCACTAAGAAGACAACTCCTCAATCTAACTTGCTTATACGAACGAAGAGTTCCTTCTGTGAGATACTGAAAGACTGACCACACTAGGGTACACAAGGACAGAAAAGTGGATGAGAATAAGGGAAGAAGTCAGTCAGGAGAGGGAAATAAAGGAAAAGCAAGGAAGGGCAAGCCATAAAGGCCAGGCCAAATCCCCTGGAGGCAGCACTTAGGCCAGCTGGATGATCCCCAGATGTGACTAGGAGAGCCACAACCAAACGCCTGAAGGCATGAGTGCATCTCTAACCCTGAACAAACTCTAGAACTGCCTTAGAGGCTCAAGTGAGTATTTCTAGGACTCTCAGGCAGATAGATTTACTTCCATTGCTTTGTAGGACTGGTTAGCCTTTGGTTTTATGGGTTAAAATACCAAAGTCACTCATCTTACTTCTACCAAGCCTCCAATTTAGGGTCTCTTGAATTCTGGAGAATGTTATATCACTCATCCAAAAGCCCGTATATGGTTCTCTAACCCACTTATGGAAAAGCTTCACATGGTGCTTAGCTTAACTCCCGTGAAATGAAGAAGGAAAGCCACTTGCAGAGTCATTTTATTCACCGTATTGATTTCTCATGGCTCCTGCAAGCATTTCTAAGGATTCTTCTGTCTTATTCCATATAAACTGGTACAAGAGGCACCTGTGAGAAGGGACCTACCAGATACTCTGGGGTTAGCTTTTCTAGCTCCAATGTAGAGGACAAACAAAAGAAACCTCTCTATCTCCCTGCTGGTGGCTGTTTTAGATGAGGGGAACTCAACATCCAACTGAGGGTATTTCACCTTCATTCAAAATCTTTCACTTCTCACTGTCTACGGCAGAATTTGAATGCTATGGAACTTTTAACATTTTTGGTCTTCTATAATTTGTTCCCAACATTTCTTTGCATATTATCTCCCCTCTATTCCCCAAATGAACCAGCTCCTCCAACACAGTCAGTATCCTTCAAATGTTCTGGGCACTAAGCTATTCCTTCCCCCGGTATGACCTCTTCTTTCCATCTGCCCAACTTTTACCCATCAGGGTTCATTTATCCAACTCAAATGCCACCTGTTCATGAAATATTCACTGACTACAATTATTTTATTTTATTTTATTTTTTAAATTTTTTTTAAAATTTATTTTTGGCTGTGTTGGGTCTTCATTGCTAAGTGCGGGCTTTCTCTAGTTGTGGTGAGCAGGGGCTACTCTTCATTGTGGTGCGCAGGCTTCTCATTGCGGTGGCTTCTCTTGTTGCAGAGCACGGGCTCTAGGCGCGCGGGCTTCAGTAGTTGCAGCACACGGGCTCAGTAGTTGTGGCGTGGGGGCTTAGTTGCTCTGCAGAATGTGGGATCTTCCCAGACCAGGGATCGAATCCGTGTCCCCTGAACTGACAGGCGGATTCTTAACCATTGCACCACCAGGGAAGTCCCTACAATTCTTTTAAAAGCCCCTGGCCAATTATACTTTTTGATATCCCCTTATGTTGCTTAATACAGGGCCTTGTACAAAGTAGTCACTAATAAATATCTGTTGACAATAAAAACTAGCTTAATTCACTGAGAACGAAAAAAGAGAAAGAATAGCAGAGTTATAGGAAGCTTTTCTGCTCTTCTGTGTAGTCTAGATTTTTACACTACCACGAGAGGTAAAAGTGGTGAACTGCAGTATTCTGGATATAAACTGGACAAAAAAAACATGTTCTGAGACATTTTCAAGGTTTTTTGGAAATGAAGGTAATAAAGCTTGATTACTCCAACATTGTCTTATGAGAGCTAGAGGCTCTGACTAAAGAAGAAAGGAGGAAAGGCCAGAAAGGAACTTGTGGATCTGGCTGCCAGCTGGACCTCACTCCCTCCTTGCCCTGCCTCACCTTCAGCCCACTGTAGAGGTCGCGGTGCAGCCGCTCCATAATGAGCAGCACAGCGATGCTGGAGCCACCACCATAGTTGTAGTCGATGACGGAACCGTGCAGATCCACCAATCGCTCATGCTTCGGCAGAGACCTGGTGAGGAGCGGAAAGGTCTGGGCTAGAGCTAACCTTGCATAGCATGTCACTACAGTGGAAGAAATAACCTTGAGACCGTGCAGAGTCCAGGCCCAGAGGTAATAGCCCTCAGTACAGAGAGAGGGCAAAGAGAATGGCCTCTCTAACGAGGACAGAGAATTATGGAATCTAAAAACTGACAGGCCTTAAGGACTAAGGAAGAAAGTCAAATGGAAGGATGGGTCTGAGCAATTAGGATGGTGGGGAAAGGGCAGGTAGAGGCAGGAAAGGCCTTGAAGAGAGCACATTTCTGGGCCAGACACTGGAATACTGGTCTACAACATTTTGAGACATAGGAATGGAGAGACAAGGTTTACTATAGCTCTTGGTACAAAATTTATACCAGGCTTCTAAGCTTCTTCTCTGGATCGTTCCCCACGAAGATGAATGAGACCAGAACCCACCTCATGTAGTGGAACTCCAAAGCTAGGTCATTCCAGTGCTTCTCATCTGGAGGGACAACCGACTTGAGGGCACAAGGGAAGTGTCCCCCCCAGTTGTCACACAGGTACACCACACCATACTGGCCCCGGCCCAGTTCCTGTCCCAGTTTAGGTTTACCTATAAGGTACAGGACAGAGATAAGGCAGGAAGGATGGGAACTTGCTGGGCAACCTCCCTAAGATTCTTAGACGTGGACCTGCCTAGAAGCAGGAAGTCATAATTATGCCAGGGGAGGAAATTTGGATGTTTTCTAAACCAGTAGTAACCTAACTGGTTTAATTTAAATAAACTTTGGTTGTGTTATTTGAACTGTATAAATAGCAGGACCAAACAGACTTCATCAGAAATTCAAAAATACATCAATGGGTGTTTAGGCAGCTTTGCAAGGAAGCAGCTTTAGACACTAGGGTTCTCCAGGGTTGGACATGAGGATGTCAGGTATCCAGAACCTTCCTCCTCCAATTTACTAGGGAAAAAAAATAAGGACTCACGATGCAGCAAGACATCCTGTAAAGAACGGCTTTCCAGCGAAAGGCGGGCCAAGCGGGGAGCATGATCTTTCCGAACCTTCAGCCATAGATCTTCAGTTTTCTCCAACCGGCCTGAGTGGCCAGCTTCCAGCTGGGAAGGAAAAAGAAGAAAGAAATATGACTTATCAGGTCCCCAGCTTTGGCTTCCTCACCTATTATATGGGGATAATAATATCTACCTCATGAGAATACCTGTGAGAATTAAATAAGATATATGTAACATAGCTCAGAGATTGGCAGATAGTGAGCATTCATTAAGTAATACTTTTTCTTCCTGGATGCGTAATCACATCTACGCACCCTCCCCTCCACACACATGTACACATGCACACGCGCACACCCCAAAGGGATAAGCAGATGTCATATAACTGCAAACTACTATGGAAGTTGGAATGTCATCCCTTTCTGTCACTCATTCCTAAAATACTATATAAACTCATACAAAATTCCTACCCCTCAATTTTCATTCCTCAAAGTGGAATGAAGTGGGGAGAAATTAATTGAGTTCCCTCCATTCTCTCTAGAGTTAGAAAAATATCCACATGAAAAATTTACTGATGAAACAACCTGTAACTTAGGATTATCCTTTAACAGACTAGAAAGGAAATATACTGATGATTTTTTTAAAATTATGTAGACAGCAGTCGACAAAACATTCCACAGTGGGCGAGGTTCCTCTCCGATTGATCCAGCTGTATGTCCTTTCCTATATACCCACCTGCCGCAAGGAGGCTGCAAAGGCCTCATGAGAACTGTTGAGCCGAGTCCGGAATTGGCTGCAAATGCTCTTGGCCAACTTGGAGGCACTGAGGCTCTCGATGGCTTCCTGGGCCACCTTTCTCTTCCACTCTAGTGTGATGGCAGGTGGGCTCACCCATGTGATGCGCTGGATGATCTGTCAGGATGAGGACAGTGAGAACACTGAGGGATGGGAAACAGAAACCACTAGGAGGAACCAACACCCCTCCCTCTCTGGGTTACCCACTCGTTAGGCCAGGATCTTAAGATAAGAGCTGTATGAAGTCCAGCACTCCTCTCCAATTCCATCTACCTCAAAATCGGGGCTCAGCCCAACGGAAAGCATCAAAGAACACTAGGCCTAGTCTGCATGCTCACAAATCAATACATTACATTCAGTACTGGGGGTACCTGATAAATCCCTTTCTAAATACAGCAAATAACTCTACGTAAGAGTCAGATGGAACATCAGAAAGGAAACCACACTCATGGCCTCTGGCAACAAAGCCTGGTTCTGAGAAAACACTTAGGTTGGGAAAAAGAAATATGACGAAGCTAGTGAAGCAGGGTTTTATGGCTCCATAAAATATCATTTAGACACATCACTTTTAAGAGTTAAAGGGGGCACTGTTAATAATTATTTCAGAACAGGCATAAACCAGGATTCTCCCAGGCAGGCAAAGCACGACAAATGGCCAGCTGCCCTGACAGACATCAGTTTGTTTAGGACAGACATCCTAGACATCAGTTTCCGTTGGAGCAACCAAGATTCACCTAAGCTAACTAGGGGCTGAAAAACACTTCCCTAAACAACCTCTACCTGTTTGATTTGCTCCCACAGCATCCTTGTAACTGAGGACCCTGAGTGAAATGTGACTTCAACATGATAGGCAGCATTTAAGATCTGAAAGAGAGTACACAAACCAAAGTCAATATTCCCTGAGTAGAGTGGCTAATTAAAAATGCAATAAATGATATTTATTTCAAGAACATGGTCCAGTTTCAAGGTTCCCAAATCTATCCCTCAGTGTATGTGCAGCGTCAATGCAGGTTGATCATCTGTCTGGTGACTATTTGGGCTCCTTTACTTCATCTTCATCTGCTTGCTCATTGACTTAACTGCAATTTGACCGTTCACAAGCACCTCCCACGGACAGTGGTCATGAGATAGGAAAACAATATAAAATTCAAACTGGACTGGCAAAAAGTTGAAAGGAAAATTCTTGACTAACTTGAAGCTGGGTTCGTGGGTGGATTCTGTTTCATGTGTTTTCTGTGACACGCTCTTAACTACCCTTTGAGTACCTGTTTGAGATAATTACTGGTGATGTGAACCGAGACATCCTGAGACTTCTCCAGGCTCTGCAGACATCGTTCCAGGGTTCCGACGAAGCTCTCACGTAGGTAATCCACAGAGCTGATCAGCTTGTTAGCCACTGCTTGATTAAGCCGGGAGATGATGAGTTCCTGGATCTGTCGGATGCAGCATTTGATCTCTCTGGTGCCCACTGGTTCTCCATTCTCAGGGACAATGACATCTATGGAGGCAGAGCAAAAAGCTAGTTGGCTGTGAGGGGAAGGGGCAGGCACACTGAATAAAGGCAGCTCCCAAGTCAGACCCAAGGAGCTACCGTGAACAACAGCTACTAAACGCATATGGCTGACAAACTGACTCTCAGTATATGACCATGGGCCATGCAATCCTCAACTACTTAAGGCATCTAAGAATCGTGAGAAGGAGCAACTGTGTACAGAATGAACCTATTGATTTTGTCAGCTCTTATATCACATTTATAGAAGAGGAGAAACAACATTTATTGACTATTTGAAATGCACAGCAAGTATTTTTCATATGTAATCTAATTTAATCCCAACAACACTGGCAGGGGTATATTACTGGTTATATTTTATATGTCAGGAAAAAGCCTCAAAGAGAGAATAAAGTGGGCACTGGGAAGGGATGGTACAGTTAGGAAGTAATATAGCTAGCATTTGAACCCAAAGCTCATGGATTCCAAAGCCTCTTATCTGTAATAATTCACACTTCCTAGCATATTAATGAGAAAAATCCAAGAGTCAAGAATTCAATTTTAATCAACTACTAGAGAAATAAAAAGTAAAACTGGAACGTTTTCCCCACTATGCTACTAGCTCTCAGGATTAGAAAAGTCTGTTTTGCAAACCAGAGGACAGAAGAACTTAAGAGAAGACAAATCACCTATAAAAATTCCACTCCTAAAAAGGCCCTCTCTAATGTTAGAAACTTATATTGGTACCACCTCTTTGGAAGAAATCTGGCAATATCTATCAAATATTTAAGCTAACCAACCAATAAACAAAAGAAATCTATACACCCTTTGACCCAACTACTGTTTCTGCTTCTAGGAATTATTTTTCTAGAAATATACCCTTACAAGTCTCAAATACATGCATGCACAATGATGATCAATGCAGTATACTCTGAGAGAGAAAGAAAGAAAGAAAAGAAAGGAAAGGAAAGGAAAGGAAAGGAAAGAAAGAAAGAAAGAAAGGGGGGAAGGAAGGGAAGGAGGGAGGGAGGGAGGGAGGAAAGGAAGGAAGGAAGGAAGAAAGGGGCTTCCCTGGTGGCGCAGTGGATAAGAATCCACCTGCCAATGCAGGGGACCCAGGTTCGAGCCCTGGCCCAGGACTATCCCACATGGCTGTGGAACAGCTGGGCCTGTGAGCCACAACTACTGAGCCTGCACTCTGGAGCCCACGAGCCACAACTACTGAGCCCCTGTGCTACAACTGCTGAGGTCTGTGCACCTGGAGCCCATGCTCCGCAACAGGAGAGGCCACTGCAATGAGGCCCGTGCACCACAACAAAGAGTGGCCCCCGCTCGCCACAACTAGAGAGAGCCCGCGCGCAGCAACAAAGACCCAATGCAGCCAAAGATAAATAAAATAAATAAATAAATTTATTTAAAAAAGAAAAGAAAGCAAGAAATAGCCTACATATCCAGCAGTAGGGGAACAGTTAAATAAATTAAGGTATATCCATTAGAAGAAGACAAATTTCTCTGCACATTTATGGAAAGATCTCTAAGATATGGGGTAAGTGAAAAACCAAGGGCAGAAGAACATATAGACGAAAACTAGATGACTAGGAGACAGTATCTTTTTATCTTTGAGTAAAGTACCATGTTTATAGGTACTATCTTTTCAAAAAATAAATAATTTATAAAGTATGTATGTCATGATACCTAGTGTGCATGCATTACCTTTACTTTAAAACAAACAAAAATCAGTAATAAAAATCTGGCTCCACAGGATATGTGGCAGCTCTCTTCTAAATCTACTTGTCATCGCCTCAAGGATACCCAGAATGTATTAGAACAAGGTAAGAAGCAGCACGTAAGTCCTGTCTAAGATGTAGCCAACTAGGTAAGTAGAAACACAAGTCCACGATGTAGTTAACAGAGCCAGACATTTGATGGACTTGTTCCCAGTTACTCCACATCTGAGCTAACCACTGTGCCCCAGGTACCAAACATGATATACCTGGTACATGATAGACAATCAAACGTTTCACTGACTGCTCAACCTACCTTCCCTGACAACGCTTTATCATGTCTACTCTTTTGCTGGCATTGATGTTCCAGTGTCTTTTATTCAGGCACTGAATTAAATTAAACATTCAGAAGATTTCCTAGGATTTCCACTGCAAGTGAGCACTTCTCAGCAACTCCTCCCTACAATGGGAATTCGCCAAAGAGGTATCTTTGTTCATCTTTAGAAAGACCTATAAGAAATCAAGCATGCTATGCTTGCTAAAGTATATTTCCTGTGTATCTATAAGTGTGACAAACATATACCATCACTCACACACTCATTCATTCTCCAAAGATATACTATACACAGACTCTGTTATTTGCTGCAAGGGATATAGTGATGAATAAAGACCCAGATCCTGTTCTTCATTTCTAGGATTTTAGAAAATAGAGGAACATAAATAACTATAATAATAAGATAAAAAGTGAAATACACCAGAAATTTCAGTTCCAGATGAAATTCTATGCGAGTTCAGATGAACTGCAATCATTATTAGCTAAGAAAATTAAAGACAACTTCATGAAAAATGGTATTTGGAAGAGGCCTTGAAGGGTAGGTAGGATTTGAAAATTCACAAATAAAAGAGATTCAGGTTTAGGGCAGGGCATAAGCAAAAAAAAAAAAAAAAAAAAAAAAAAGTAAAGGAAGCATACAGAGGACAGGAAGCAGTTGAGACCAACCAAAAAAGAAATTACAGGAAGGTGCATAGTGGGAAATAAGACTGAGAAAGTTGGAAAGGGTTGGGCTTTGGAAGATCTTGAATACTAGGCTAAGGAGTCTTAACTCAGTCTGTAGAAATAGAGCCAATAAAGATGAACTGGGGAAAGGTGAGAAAGATGTCAATGAGATCAGTCAGGTAACAACAGTTCAGTTAGACTTAAGAGGAAGGAATAGAGAAGCAAAGGTATATATGAAATAGGGAAGAAGACTCAGCAGGACTTGGCGACTGACTGGATACGGGGACGACAGAAAGAAAACAGTTAAAGACCATGCTGAGGTTTTTTTTTTAATCTTTATTGGAGTATAATTGCTTTACAATGGTGTGTTAGTTTCTGAAGACTTTTTTTTTTTTTACTTTTTAAAATTTTTTTATTTTAATTTTTTTTATTTGGCCGAGTCACACAGCACGTGGGATCTTAGCTCCCCGACCAGAGATCAAACCCGTGCCCCCTGCATTGGAAGCACAGAGTCTTAACCACTGGACCACCAGGGAAGTCCCCATGCTGAGGTTTTGAAGCTGGTTCCCAGGAAGACGGTAGCATCGGTAACTGGGGACAGATTAAGAAGCAGTAAAGCATGGAAATTAAGAGTATGGGCTCAGGAATCAGACTGTCTAGATTCAAACTCTGCCTCTACTATTTAGTAGCTGTGTGACCTTGAGCAAAGTACTTAACCCGTCTAAGCCTGAGTTTCCTCATCTAGAACATGGCAATAAGCAGAATCCACCTAGGGAGGTTGTTTTAGAAAAAAACAAAAACAAAAAACTGATGCTAGGTCCCATGTCAGAAATGCTGACTAGTAGGTCTGGAGTGGTCTTTAATGGTCTCAAGCATCTACATTTTCAAAAAGCCTCCCAGGTTATTTGGATACATAGCCATGACTGAGAACCTAAAGGGTAACTTGCAAACCATGTACTTTAATTAATAGGTAGTAGAGCTAATGTTCATGCAGAAGTCAGTATACAAAGTCAGTAGCATCTAAACCTCAGACACCAAAAGACCAGACTAAGCATTTGGCCGAGTTTTGTTAACAGTCATTATTGAAGAATGGGAACGCCAGAAAAGCTAAAACCGCTACTTTGAGAAATCCTTCTGAGTTAGGTCTCAGGAGCAGCCTGAAAAGAAAATGAGACCATGACACACAAAAAAGAACCGACAAAGAAGCATGGGCCATGCCAAAGGAGCCAGGGTTAAAGCATGACTTAGTGACATTCTTCAAGCAGCTCTTCTCCAGTTTTATCAAGGCCAAGGGGATACAGATATAAACTGGAGACTAAAGAGCACTATTGGAATGAATTTACCAAAGGCTGGACTAACAGTCCTAGAAAGGAATGATGGTGGAATCTTCCAGGAAGGTCTCTCAGAACAAAAGAGGCCACCTTGGCTACATGATTTAAGGTGGGCTCCTGCTAATGACAGTGGGGGTAGGTGAGATGATCCTGAGGTTCCTTTGGGCTTCAGAATTAATGTACTCAACTTCCTGGAAAAGAGTTAGAGGATGCTGTAGTCCCCGCACCCTACCGAGTTCTCTAGGACCTACCTTTAAACTCCATGTTGGCAGCGTCATCCAGAAGTTCCTCCTTCATGGTGTTAAGCGTCTCAACGATCATGTCCTTCATTTCCTCCTGCTTTCGGTTGGCAATATTCATCAGTGATTCGTACAACTCATTCTCCTTTTTTCGTGTATATTCTAGACGTTTGGGAGTAATCTGCAGGTCCCGCTGCATGTCAAAGGCCTGGTTAATAAAGATGTCGAGGCAGCGGCAGTGCACCAGGTTCAGGGCCTTGGCTGCGTCCACCAGGTGAGTCTGTAGCACCTGGTGAGAAAATGTGTTCAAGTGTCTCAGCTTCTCACTTTGCTCCACCAACACACTCTGAGCTTTGGTGTCCTGGCTGGGGTTCCCACAGTTACAGTGACTGCTGCTCAGATAGCCCAGGTCAGTTAGTTGGCGATGGAGTGGTGATCTTTCATTCTCCATTCTTCTGGTGGAGGAGCTGATTATCTCCGAGCCCAGCTTCGGCACTTTGAAAAAGAATACGGGAAAGGAGAAATACTTTCGGATTTCCTGAAGCTCTTGCTCATCCCTTTCAGAGAGTTCATCTTTGTGGAGTGCATAGGTTATCACAGGCAAGAAATCATTCACCAAGTCACCCAGAACATCCACTGTGGGCCGGAGGCCTTGGCACGGTGCTACCACAATGTTCACTTCCTAGAAGGGGAAGGGGGTCATATCAGCACTTCAGGGTCAGAACCAATCCTTGCCTCCCCAAAGTCCCACACTGAGACCAAAATCCAGATCTATGATGGGGCAACTGAACTTCGGTATGCCCCAATCATTTGTCCACCTCCTTCCTTGGTTACCAACACTCCCTGGTGCAGCCTATGCAGGCAGGCACTCGTCCAGAGAGAGTGAAAAAACAAATAAGTAGAAAGGATGGCAGTCCTTTTAGCCATTTTATTTTTATTTTTTTATTTTTTTTCTTTTAGCCATTTTAGATAAAAAAGAATATTTAGTCCCTTTTGTTGCTTTGGAAACTCCCATTAATTCCCTCTGATGAAGAAATAAGACAAATAGTAGATGAAGAAAGAACTCTTAACAGACTGGGAGTGAATCTGCCTAGAATACTCCTCCCCCCTCTTTCTAACCTGACTAACTCATCCCTATCTTTCTAACAGGGCTAATTCCCATGGTCCTTTAAATCTCAATGTATACGTCGTGTCATACCCCTCGGGTATGACCCCTTTCCTATTACACAATCCCGAGCACTCTCTACTTCTCCTTTTCTTAATGTTCAACACATTTATAATTTATTTATTTAAAACCTAATTCTTTCCCATTAGCCTGTAAACTCTTTGAGGACAGGGACCATGTCTATCTTGTTCACTACTATAACTCCAGTGCCTAGTACAGAGTAAGTCCTTAACTTTGTTCAATCAATCAATCAAGCAGCGAACTAAAGCCTAGATCTGCCAAACATTACCGTCCTATTCTAGGAGTTGGCAGGCATCCCAAAGTCTTAGCCACCTAAGTCTTAGTAATACCTTTACGCTCATGTTCACTTGGTCTGGCAGAGATTAAGATTTGCCTATCCAATATTTAACCTCTGCATTATTGGGAAGGCAATGTCTTTTATAGACGGGGTGGCCAATAATAGGTGGGGCAACAGGAAAGCTCTTTAAAGGGTTGATTCCACTAGTAAGTACACCCTTTGGACTTGCCCTTCTTGCTTGGAGCACAGATGTGACAGACAGAGCAGCAGTGATCATCCTGCAGTCCTTGGACAAACGTGAGAGTAGAAGCCAGCCTTGAGGATGATGAAGCAAAAAGAAATAGAGGGACTTCTCTGTGGCGCAGTGGTTGGGAATCCGCCTGCCAATGCAGGGGACACGGGTTCAAGCCCTGGTCCAGGAAGATCCCACATGCCGCAGAGCAACTAAGCCCATGCACCACGACTACTGAGCCCGCACTCTAGAGCCCACGAGCCACAAATACTGAGCCCGCGTGCCACAGCTACTGAGGTCTGCAAACCTAGAGCCTGTGCTCCGCAACAAGAAAGGCCACTGCAATGAGAGGCCCATGCACCACAGCGAGGAGGGGCCCCCGCTAGCCGCAACTGGGGAAAGCCTGCATGCAGCAACGAGGACCCAATGCAGCCAAAAATAAATAAATAAATTTTTTAAAAAAAGAAATAGGGAGCTTGGATCTCTGATGACTACAGAGCTGCCACACCAGCCCTCAAATGCCTAGCTTTAGACTTCTTTTATGTGAGGGAAAAAAAGTAACCTCTGTCTTGCTTAAGCAAGCCCCTACTTTTCTGATTGTTACGTACGATGAATCCAATCATAACTGATAAACCCAACGCCTGAAGTGAGTTTCAAGAATGATCTTTGGTTTAGAAACAACTTTCCACAGGTCCTTTCCCTAGCTAGTAGTTTCTTTTTATTGTTCTACTTCTTTCCTAAGGATCTTGAAGCACTTAAGAGCATGTATTTCCATCCATGCATAGGTTCCTCCAAATCTCTGAAATTGCCTACTTTGCCTGGCACTCCAGAACTAAGGGTTGACCTGGAGACTTGCGCCTATATCACCATTGCAGGCACACCAACTCCAAAGTCTGCAGACTCAAAATCAATCCTTTGCAAAATTCTAGTACATTTTAAAGAGTTATGAAAGAACTCAACACAAATCTGCTCAAGTCTGTGTCCTTAACAGTTATCAGATGTTGCAAATTTACTTTATTTGAAATCTAAGATATACAATTTGTTTATTTTCTTTCAGACTAATACTCTGTTTTTATTCCTTTTTTGATCAATAGGTATCATTGATGAAAGATTTTTAAAAATCAAAACCTGGGATCTTTTCCTTTTTGATCTCCTCCAGATAAGGAAGAAAGGGCTGGGAAATGCCAGCCTATTGTTTCTTGGTGTGTGTGTGTGTGTGTGTGTGTGTGTGTGTGTGTTGTTTCTTGTAGTGTGTGTGTGTGTGTATGTTTCTTGTAGTGTGTGTGTGTGTGTGTGTATTGAAGGACAGAGAGACAGAGAGAGAGAGAGAGAGCGCTCTCCTATTTCCAGCAAAGCACAAAGGTCTCACCTTCTTCCTCAACAAAGAACTCATAAATTGTATTCTCAGGTAGGTCACAGAACTTTCATTTGGCTGTGGCCACTTTGAACTCCCTAAAGCTAAAAGTGCTTTTACCATCTCAGCATTTGTAATTTGAGCAAACACTGTATAAATCCACGTGCTTTCTACCCAAGCCTAGGCCAAGAAGAAATCTGCTGTTTCATGTGTGCCTCGAATTGCATGGAATGTTTTCTGATTGGAAGACTAGTGTGACACTCACCCTGCTATTCAAAACAAGCCCCTGCACTACACTGAGTCACACTGCTGGAGTATCAGTCACTTCATGAGGCACATTCAAAAAGTGGGTAAGTAAGAACTTTTAGGGTTTAGAGTACCACATGCAATTGCCTAAATGCCAAAACTTTAATTACATATAATAATTAGATAGGCTAGAAGAGAATCCCAAGAACTGAAAATTTATAACAAGATAATTATAGATGACAGTGGTTTTTAAAAATATTTTAAAAATTGCTTCTGTCTTAAGTATATATCTCTTTAAAGGTATAAATCAATCAAACTTATTATAGAAATATTAAGGGAAGAAAGCCTAAATATTCAAAACCTAAGTTAAGTGTTGTTTAGAAAGTTTTCAGGAAGAATTTTGTCGGCTTGTTTATTTGATGGATTTTCTTAAAATTCTAAAATAAACTTCCAGGTTTTCCTCAAAGGACCATTTTGTGTGTGTAACACAACCATCAGCCAAAGCTGCCAAGTCCATTTGTAGAACCAATATCCTTTGTAAGGGACAGTTGACTTTATTTGCTCATAGTTGCAAATTCATTTTTTAAAAAATGGATTCAGTGGATAAAGAAGATATGGCATATATATATATATACACACACACACACACACACACACACACACACAGTGGAATACTACTCAGCCATAAAAAGAATAAAATTTGGCCATTTGCAGTAACATGGATGGACTTGGAGAGCATTATGCTAAGTGAAATTAGTCAGAGAAAGACAAATACTGTATGATATCACTTACATGTGCAATCTAAAAAATAAAACAAACTAGTGACTATAACAAAAAAGAAACAGACTCACAGATACAGAGAACAAAGTAGTTTGTAGGTTACCAGTGGGGAGAGGGAAGGAGTGAGGGGCAAGATAGGGGTTATGAGGTACAAACTACTATGTATAAAATAAATAAGCTACATGGATACAATACAGGGAATATAGCCCATATTTTATAATAACTATAAAGGAATATAACCTTTAAAAATTATGAATCACTATGTTTTACACCTGTAACATATAATATTATATATCAACTATACTTCAATGTTTTTAAATTCCCCCAAAATGAATTCTGATGGTAGGTACTGCCTGGTACATTGGTACCTAGAAAGAAGTTGTCTACTCCTAAATACATCTTGTACTAAACGAAAATGGATAGAAAACAAGTACCATGCTCTCTCTTCTCCGTTCCCCAGTTAATTAACTTGTGCAGTCGGTCTCACTGTTCTGACTACCAAGACTGTTGGAAGACAGGCAAAAAGAGCTGCTGGCTGAGACCCTGGCAGCAGTACAAATTAGACTGGAATGTGGTATGTGATTCTGCAATACTCACAGCAAAGGGATGACTCATGCCTGACGGTTATAAACAAAAAGGGAAGCCATCACTGTCTCCTGGAGACAGGGAGTGAAAAAAATTCACAGAGAGGATGAGCCCTGTTCTGGGTCCTATTATGGCCACCTGAGAGGGAAGACTGACCTCAGACTGTTGCATGGAAGGCTGTATTCCTTCCTGGCACTTAGAACAGTGTCTGGCACTTAATGAGCATTCAATAAATAAATGTGCAGTTGGACTTCCCTGGTGGTCCAGTGGTTAAGACTCTGTGCTTCCACTGCAGGGGGTGTGGGTTCGAACCCTGGTCGGGGAACTAAGATCCCACCTGCTGCTTGGCATGACCAAAAAAATAGTAATAGGAAATAAATAAATAAATGTGCAATTCCTGGATGAATAAATGATGCCTTTACTACTTGCTCAAAACCACTTTCAATCATCCTATATAAAATTTTCTATTTTTAACCCATATCCCACACATTTATCTGGAACTGCTATTTGCATCTACTCCAAGGATGAAGCAGTGAGTAAGCATTTTGCTCCTAACTCAATCAAGGAAGAAGAATCCCAGGGAATCATGAGAGTATGCCATAATTCCCATTTTGAGACACAGCAAATTCCTAAAGAGATTTCTCTTTTAGAATACATCTACACAAATCTGTCGAATCTACATAAGCTGATATATTACCATCAATTTTCTTGGCAAGATTAAGAGAATGTAATAGAAAGGAGATTGCTACTCTGCAAACACCAGAATTTACCTCTCTGGTTTTGTTTTTTATGTAAAAGCTTTTTATGTAAAATGACACTACCTTAAGTGCCAAGAAGAAATGGCTCAATCACTGAAGCCTGACCACTTCCTAAGAATATTGGCTCTTACTGGTGAGGACTCCTTACTCTATGGCTCATGGCACATTACTGAAACTCAGTGATAGCTAAGGATGATTACCTTAACTGAGGGTTCAAACAGAAGATGATCACGTACTCAGGTAGGTCATAAATATCTTTGTTTT